TACCGTTTTCAAATATGCGTAATGTTCTTCACATAGCACAAGCGTAACGTAAGTTTTAAATAATGTTTAGTTTTTTGTTTTTATTTGTAAAAACTCTGTAGAATAATTTGGCACAGATGTTACAAATTCTTTTTGGTTGTATTATAAATTATTATATGTTATGTTATAATGGGAAATTAAATTAAATTAACTGTTTAGTAACAGAGTAACAATATGTTCTTTATGTCACCTACAAATACTATACTTGAAAATAAAAATATAAATATAAATTTCAATAAAAATTTTTTTTTTTATGAAGACTAATTTTATTGATAAACTAATATTAAATCAACTACTGCATAAATCATTGAACGATATTATTTATTATTATGACATTATTTTGTGCTACCGGTGTAGAGAACTGGGCAACAGATTTAGTGTAAGTATACTATTATAGTATTATACTAGATATAGATAGTACTGCAGGCATTTTTAACTTAAAATTCTAAAAGAAAAAAAAATATGCTAAGTTACATAATATTATAATAATATACAGCTCTATATTTAAATTAAATATATACATACGTATTTATATTTTAATGTATAGTCAATATTATTTTACTCACTTTGTATAATAATTTGCATGTAATCATTATTATAATTTAAATGACAAATTTGTGAATGCTACACATTGTAAAGTAGAATAATAAAATAATGATTATTAAAAATATATATATATTAATAAAGTAAAATTTGTGACCTTACAGTAAAATATAGGCGTAAGACAATATTATTTTCATTGTTTGTTTATAGTTAAATTTTTTTCATATAATAATTATGATTCTTCCTTTATAATTTATATACATCCGAATACTATGCTAATGAATTGATTTTTTTCATTGCATCAAAATATTATTCAGTAGATAAAGGTAGATTTTATTTCATTTCCTTTTGGTAGATCACGCTTAAATAAATCGTCGAATGCTTTAATACAACTCTATCTTTTCAAAACGTAAAATATAACTACCTACAACAAATAATTACAGTGATGGATGATTCAGAATCCATTCGCATTCGTATAAAATACACACGCTTATTTATTCAGGTTTTAAAAAAATAATGAAAATAGTTTATTCAATTATTGTTGTTTTAAAGAAGAAGCGAACAAAGTGCTGGAAAAATATTTTTTATATAAATATATGAAAAAATAAAAAAAACGAGTTGAAGAACACTGCTTTTATTTTTTTATAGTAGGTACTTATATTATTCTCAAAATACTTTGACCAGTGCTTTTGTAGGGATGAATAATTAATAAACTAAGTGAAAATCTAATAATTGAATATCTTAATACACGTTGCAAGAAAGGCAGCCCGAGGTAGGTATGCATACATTAACCTAAACGTGTGTCTAAATTATATAATGTACAACAGCGGTTTTTAACCTATGGTCCGCGGTCCCTGGGGGTCTGCGATACTCATGTCGGTGGTCCGCGGCGGCCTTAACACCTAACATAAGTCAATACGTGACATGAGTGCATTATTACAATAATTTTGGATTATTATTAAATTTTTTTCGTAAAAAATATATCTTATATTGTAAGAGATAAAGTATAAACCTATCTCAACTTTATTACACCGATGACAATGGAATTCGATACAATTAAGTATCTAAACCTAGGTAATAATTTTATTATTAATATTTGTTTATCAATTTTTCTTGTTCATAAGAATTGTACAGGCATACAGCAATTTAGCAGGGCAGTCTTATATTTACTATCAATAAGTACAGTTAATAGATGGTACTCAACTATAATGTTATACCTACGTAGTTTAAGATTAATACGTGATATTATTTAAAATCATCTTAAACACATTTAAGTTAAAATGGAAAGTTGGTTAAATTTGAAATGGAAGAATTCTCACGATGATGATGAAAAGACTCAGTATATCAAAAAAGAAAAGTCGAAAAAACTTCGTAAGTATGATAATATTTTTTTATACTTCTACAATTTATTATATAAAATAATTATTTTAATTTTGGTTATTATAACATTAGATCTTTTGTAAAAAATTGGTAGGGGGTCCGCGATTTCTAAAAATCTTTCATCTGGGGTCCGAAACGTCTTATACTCGTCCGAAACGGTCCTATAAGCTCTGATTTCCCTGAGAGCTGCCAATCTTTGAGGCCTTCTCAAGTCGGTCCTGAACTTGGCTGTGGCGTTGACCTCACTAAACTAGACTGAAGTGGCATAGAGAAGTTGGCTCTTGACTACGGTGCTTAGAAGTCTCTCTTACCACTGACATGGTCCACCGATGTTATCATATGAGCCAAACGACCACTCACGGGTAAGAATATAACTAACTAAAATTAAACTTGTATTGGTATGTCATCGTAGTATTAAAATCTTGCCGTCTAATGTTTTTGACGAGAAAAGTTTAAATATAAAAAAAACAGATTTTGTGTTATATAATACATACTATAAATAAATAATGTTTACACACATATCAGATGCATACATATCCTTTATCCAATGAGAAAAAATCTTGAATACTCCACTGTAAGGATATATCTTGAATATATTACCCTTTTATATTATCATTAATTCTAGAAATCCACCCACACTACTCCTTAAGAAGAACTGTTATTTAAGGGGTTTTATGTAGGCAATTTGTATAGAAAAAGATTATTTATTTATATTTGAACTAGACGGGTTTAAAAAGACACTGCTCCTGCATGTTGTGTCGTCACTTTTAATATACTTTGAATTAATACCTTGTAAATAAGTAATTACATTCAACATTTTAATCCTTATGAAAGTTATTTGAGTATTGTCCCATACATCTGCTATTTTTTCTGATTTCTTGAAATCTTGTTTGATATCTCCGATAATCCATAAAAGTTCTTAGTTCGATTTTACATTTTATCAAAGTATTATATTCAATGTATAATCAGATAGTAGTAAAAATAAGTTATGTCTTACTAATTACTATTGATACATGTAATTGGGTTCTTGAGGGGACGTCGAACTCGTCTTCGTCTTACACACGACATTACAAATTTTCGTTTATAAGTTTCAATAGTGTGCTGTTAGTTTTGATATTAGAGTGAATTTACCGATCATCAAACTTTTAGGTATGAATATGATCTGTATATTAGTGACTTATATTTATTATACATTAAATTGAATATTTTTCCAAATTTACAATTTTGATAGTGTGGAAAAATGATAGTTGTTATTCATGTACATATATTATATGTTATGAGTCCTATTTACGTATTTAATTTCTCATAAAATCATTGTTTTAAAAAAAAAAAAATTTATTTACAAAGTTGAGATTCGGGTGTGCCATTTATCAAATAATATATTTAAATTTATTAATATCAATTAAGAATTGAAGAAGTGCCAAACAAATACTTGTATTGGTAAGCAAATAATTTTTTTAATTTTATTAACCTAAATATGTACCTAATATAAAGATCTAAATAGAGTACTAACCTTTTTCATGGTTTTCTGTTTATATTTTTATATATTATTCAACCATATTTTTTTTGAGATCGGTTGCCCACCAAAAGATGTGACCTGCAGTTCTTTACGCCGCCAGTGCCATCGCGGTGACAGTTAAATTGGCTGACGGCATTGCAAGGTAAATCCCCAATGGACCGTTAAATTGGCTTCCGAAAAATATATAATTTAATTGACTTCCAAAAACATAACATAATTTTCTTCAACTGTGCAATACTTTCGAATAAAAGAGCCGCGGGGAAGGGACAATTCTTCAACAGTTATACAGTGGAATTGTGGAAAACGTCATTAGAATTTGGGAAATAGGGCTTATAGAAGGAAATATCTAAAAATTATTTATGACACGTAGGTTGATATATAAAAATAGAAAATCGGGGACAGGTACACAACACAATAGAGATGGATATTAAGTGTTAACAGACTATGCATAATCTTTAATTCCGTTAGGAGTGGTGATATGATTTAGTAAGTGTTTAAAATTGTATGGTGTATACAAATACTCGTTGTCACGCGGCTAAGTACTAGGTTTATGTTAATTGATAAATATTTAGTAAGACGATAATGATGTCAAAATGGCACGCACCTCTGTATACACCGTGATTATTTATTGTATTAATTTCCCACTATATCGTTCACCGGTTCATTTGGTTTCTTAATAATTTTGGTATAAATAGGTAAATTAATCAGTATTTGAATTGTGAAAAATAAGAAGGGGGATGCAAAAGTGGTAAAAAAAATATCAGTACTTGAATATTTAAATGTCTTATTGATTATAGGATGTATATTGAAGAGAATTATTGATGGAGGGAGTCCAGCTAATTTTCCAAGCAAGTTGGGGGCCACGCTAACTGGGGGAGAGCGGGACGCCACCAGATTTGAAATCGACTGAAACATCGTAGTTTCACCTATACGCAATATTCATAAGGGTACACGGTTTTGCAACCACTCGAAATAGATACAACCGCTATAAACACGGGTTAAGCCAAAATATAGAACAGTCATCGTAATATTGCAGCAGTAATCGTCGTTAACAACAACAACAACAACAACAACAACAACAATTGTTGCTGTCATCGTTATTAAACTATTATCACATTTGTACACCTATACACGTAAAATATGCACAGCTCCAAGTCGCAGTCGTAACATCCGCTCTCTTCGTGATCCGCCGAGGCGCGTTAACGACGGAGCCGCCGCGGCGTACTGAAACGGCTTAATTCGTGTTTCTTCCTCCACCGCCACCCCGCCACCCCTAAGCCTACAACCGCGCCACCTCCGCCTCGCATAACGTGCTTCTCCTACCCCGCGTGCTACTGCTATTACTCCTACTACCCCGCACATCGGACGGGTAGCGTGTATGTGGGTGCAGCATCAGCGGGTCGACGGTGGGTGAGCGGGCGAGCGCGAGGGTGTCGTCCGCGGCGTGCGCGGGTCGCCCGTGGCAACGCGTCGGTGCGATGCGCCGCCGACCGTGTGCTCTCTGCTCCGCACGCAGCAGTACGCGCGACGGTCCGACCGCGGAAAAGCCCATCATCCCGACGACAGTCCGGCCGCGCCGGAAAAGCGCGTTTCCCGACAGTCGTAGTCGGCACAGTACCCACCACGGTGGCCAACGATCGTCCGTCCGCCAGCTCCTCCGCCGTCTGGTCGTACGCCGCGTACTGGCGTGAGCGCCGCCGAATAACGCGACCAAGGAACAACAACAACAATAATAACCATAATAAAATATTAAAATATTAGCGACCACCGTAAACTTTGAGCTTATATTATCATCGTCGTCGTCGGTCATCGCATCACGAGACTGCGGAGCGATAGACGGCAACGACACTATAATATTATCGTCAGAGGTTCTAGATCAATTTTCGAATTTTTTCCGTTTCGAAAATCCAATTTCGAAGAATTCACATACGGGGAGATCGCGGCGCGGCCGCTCACAGCACTTCGGGACATGAAGGACTCCGACGACTGTTGCGGGACCACCGTTTTCGGGTGTTTTCCGGGGGCGAGACGCAAAAATAAACAGCCAAAGGCGAAATCACCGCCACCGATACAGCACCTGCAGGGGGACAGCCCGGGAGGCTCGGTGCAGGCGTTCTACCGGCAAAACCGCGGAAAGTCGTGCCGGAAAATCATGCGGTTCAACGGATATCCGAACAAAGTAAGTCAGCTGTTTTTCGACATTTGTAGAATAAAACATTCCGTTTCCGAATTTATATTGCATATTTATTGTGCCTCACGGTCGCGTTTCAAGTGTAGTAGTGGTCGATGCTCTTGCAGTAACATTTGCTGGTGCACTGATCGCAAAAATATCCGACCTACTCATAAGATGACTATAATATTATCGTAAATTTAATTTTGGTTTTAATTTTTCACGTCGGACCAATGATAAACTTATTGCTATGTTATATGTGTCGATCACTCCATAGGTATGTACCAATGTTATAATTTATAAATTATAATGATATTCCCTTTATTAAACTATACAACTTCACGATTAAAAATATATTATAATATCAAAATAACAATATTTTATACGTCACTCTCGAACCTAATTAAATACATTTAGATAGTTACTGTACTAACTTGACATCAGATGAAAACTAGTTTCATAGTTTATCGTTAGAAATAATTTTTAAGTTTCATTATCACCATAAAAAGAGTTACCTAATTAGAATTGAAATCGCGTAGTATGGAACCAAAGTTCACTTCTATCGCTCTATTTAAAATCTTTGAAAATTTGTAAAAAAATTTCAACTGAGTTTAAGACTTCTGCAGTAGGTATTGTAATAATAAATATTTGAATTTTTTCAGCCACCAATGATTTATTATGATACGTTGCATGTAAATAACATTCAGAGTGAAGAATGAATTACTGAAAAACATAAATGTAATGCTACAAATTCACATTTTATTATTAAAATATTTTTAAAAAATATGTCAAAATGTGTTCAATTTTCCAACAAAGGAAAACTTTTTGATCTTTTTCTTTGCTCCAAAAATGTCAACTATAGTTCCGTCCACTTCACCTATTATACAATAGGCTATAGCTATACATGTATTATACATTTTAAAGTTGTGTATTTAACTTGTTTGAAGTACCTATGTATTATTTATTATTTAATACATTTTTACCAAATTAATAAATTTATCATTATAATACTTCATAGCTAATGATTGATAAAAGTAAAAGACGTTCTAATCTATTATAATCTGGTTGTTCAACTGCACGTTATAAAATTTTGCATTTGGATATACGATTAAAATATTCTTATTGATGATAATATATATAATAGTTAATCTCATATTCATGATGGTATATAGAATTAAAATAGATTAAGTATTTTTTTTTGAAATTGGAAATTATGTATTTGATATGAAGGTATACATTATTGTTAGGGCCAAAGTTATGAAATCTTTTTTTATTTTTCTTATTTATTATTTAAGAAAATTTACAATCTATACACAATTTATATAATAAGTAAATATGATGAGTACAATATTACAGGACATGAAAATCTTGAGGGAAGGGAGTGTCCAGTGACACTACTTCCAATAAAATATAATTTTTTAAAAAGAAATATAGGTTCTTGAGGTTTTGCATAACCTTACTTTAATAATCATAAAAATGTTTGAATGGTACACATCTAAAAAATAAATTAATACTGCCTGGTTTCCCACACGTATCATTTTGTTGATAGTTATGAATTGTGACTTTTGAATATAAACATAAGTATTTTAAATAGCTTCGAGTAAACCGAGTGTGTGAATCCGACGATTTTTCAGTTAAACTGTTAAAAACGTAAAATTGTTGAGATAATTTTTCTAATAAATTAAATTTTTCTTCAGTGATTTATTAAAGGTTTGTTTTTATATATTAACGAGCATGCAATGAACTATTAAAGAATTGTTTTAAAATAATTTTTTGTTGTGATCGAATTACGTCTTTTCAATTTAACAACCTTTGATTTACTTTAAACATTTCATAATAGATTTTGTCAAAGAGATTGATAAATTAAAATTTTATTTTTAAGATCAAAAATTGATCTGTCAAAGTCACATAATTTAATCTTGTTTTTAAATATTCACTTTAACCTATTTTTCTCAGTAAGGGTCCTCTTGAAAAATATTATTTTATATTAGGGTAACATGAAAGGAACAAAAACACACGACTTTACTCAATGAAGTACCTACGACTTAACATATACACTTGAGCGTTAACGTCATTTCATTTCCAAGTCATTTTAATATTAAAAATGTATATATATAACATTTACCTATTGTTCTTTAGTATACTTAATTTTACGGGTTTGCTTAGTAAATTATTAATTGTATAAATATATGATTTAATTTAGAAAAAACAGGCGTTTTTAAAAAAATGTGCGAAAATTAAAATATAATTAGTTTAATGGTATACAAATCTAATATTATTTAACATTATAGTACATTTTATATATTAAATGTCTTAAATCTCATGTTTGAGAGCATTGAGTAATAATAATATTATTATGTCTTTATATAATAAAATAATGCTATAAAGAAGCTGATAACTATATCATTTTCATGTTATATCATAAAATAATATCGTTTTCTAAGACAGCCTCCCATGCAGTTATTGACTATATTGTCCCCTCTTATTATTGTTTGCAGCAAGGAACATGATATTAGGTATATAGATTATTTTTTCTTCTTATTTTTAATACATCGACCATCGAAGGGAAAACGGTCCAAGGTTCTAAACAGTTCTTGTAAATAATAAACATAAACAAACAATCCGAAAACAACTTAAATTATTTAAGATATTATTTTATTTGATAAAACTAACTAATTAATTGTTTGTTTTCATGCTAGACGCTTGGTTGGTTATTGAAAACCGTGATGAAAAGTTAAACAAAAACGGTAAAAACACATTTCTCGAGTAAATATTTAAGCCCTACTTAACCTAAATATTCTATTGTCTAGGCAATTTTTAATTTAAAACATTGTTTGCACGTGTCTACGCCTTTCTGTGATCTTATTTTCTGTTACTCTGCGAATAAACATTATGGTTTTATGATCATTCCGCAGCTCGTTCTGCGGCGATAGCAATAAAAAAAAAATTCAGTCTGCATAATATACATATATGATATATCGTATAATGTACGCGTATACATATACACAATAATAATATTATGTTCTACTGCCGTGGCGAGCCTTGTCTCGCCACAACGCCTGCAAAGTAATATCAATTTTTTTAAAGTGTACAATTTTCCGGAATACATTATACACATGTAGATACCTATATGTGGCGAACGCAAGACTTTACTGCTGCAGCGCTGGTTCGTCATGGCACAAACGAAAAGCCATTTCTTAGCCACCGTTTCCCTACACGCTGTCACATACGTGACAACCCTTTTTTGTTTTTACTTTCGGCACACAGAAATTGGATATATGATATCCGACGTGCAGCGCATTGTCTCTGCCGCAGTGTATATATTGTTCCGCGCGCAGTAATAGGTCCGATACCCTCGAAAATTGCTACACACACTCTCACGACACGCACCCCGGAGGGCATGACGAACGAGACGTAAAAAACAAAACGTGTTAGAGAAAGACAAAAAAAAAATAACACCCTCGATAGGCCTTGGGGGTCGATAGCCCATTCCCCTATCCACCGCCGCGGTGTCGCGCAATACCGTCGTCGTTATCCACGGCACATATTTATGCACCGTGGGTAGGTTTTTGTTTAAAAGATCCGCCGAGAGGAGAATGTTACATATATTTTAGCAACCCTATATATACACTTAGTATAATGTATACATTATACACACACACATATATATATATATTTACAAGTAGGTATACTTAATGTATACATATATAGTGTACGGGGATGAGCCGGATGACGCACTACCGCGCGTACAGAGTATAGTATCGTTCATTATATACTCTGCGGCAAGGTTAAATTAGATTTGCATAACATTTCCTACGATCCGGAATATTGTTACAGTGTATACGGGCAAAATAAAATACCCCATCTCATCATCTACTACACGATAATTTAATGATCGTTTGTGAAATTTAAGTGGTTGATATTTTTAGATTCTCGGTAAAGCATATAAGTACAGTAGGTATATAGGTAGGTATATGCGTGGAATGTATTGGTTTCACAGTGTTGCGTTGTTTTTTTTTTATTGTTTTTAGATTTCGAACGTAACGAGGAATGCATTATCGGTATTACAAAGGAGTGTGTGATTTTTTTCTGTTTTTTCAGTTGGTTAGTTTTGTTTGTTATCATTTTTTCATGCTTCAAAAGTTTGAAGTACCATTCCGGAGACTAACAATATTGGCAATTTTCGATCGTGTGAGCAAGGCCTTTGGAGAAGTGATTTTTTTAAATTTCTTATAAGTGTTGATAGTACCTACATAGTTTTCAGCTAATAAAAATGGTATCACTTACAATTGATAAGTATTTACCAAATTATTGTAGCCATAAACTCATAAATCATTAAATATTTAAATCTTGTTATACGATACCTAATAATACAATTATAATCTGAGAATGACAACAATAAAAAATGTTTAAGTATTTAAATATTTAAAATAATTAAGAATGATTGAATGAATCACTGCAAACCTATAATTCTAAATTATATATTTTAAAACAAAATAATAAAAAAGTGTTATTTGAAAAATATGGTTTTTTAATGAGATAAATCGATAACGACTTTGGTATTATTATAAATAATTATAAAAATGGTTCTTCAAAACTACAATCACAATGTACAACCGTAATACCTAATTTAAACTTTTTAATGCCTTTAATTAATGCCTTCGTATTATAATACACTCATGACCACATGATCCTCGAGGTTACTGTTTTGTCGCGTATAAGACATGCGTCTTTGGATTCCCTCGGGTGCGTGGACAAATGTATGCGACAAATGATAACGGTTTTTCGCGGGAGACATTTTCAATTATATTCAGAGGGACCACTGAAAAGTCTCTAGGGTTTTTATTCACCTGACCAGACACTTTTTTTTATAAAAAAATATATTGGTACCTAACGTTTAAAAAACATGCACGAGGTAAAAAAATTGTTTTGAGAATTTTCTATTTGTCGTTATCCCTAGTGGTTTTAGGTCGTAAATAGGAAAACTAATTCAAATTGAATGGAACCAT